CAGAAGCTTGCAAAGCTTGAAATATCTGTATGACAGTTTGGCAAAGAAGGGAATACTGTGTAAAAATGAAGCTGAAATGCGTGCATATGATGTCTTATTGAACCTGGACGATTCGAGTATTTTACGGTAATTGAATTTATCGTTTTTTTGAGTTACTGTTGTTCTCATTCGATTCTCATATCTTATATCTTATCATATTTAGGCAAATCCTAACTTATCGCAGAGAAATGCGCGAATCTATGCAAGTGAAGTTTGCATTAAGCCTTTTTTCATGTTTCAAAAATGGAAATTATATCAGATTCTTTAAATTGTTGAAAAGAAATGCGAGTTATCTGCAGGTTTATAATTTTTTACAATGATCTATATAAATTTCTATGCAACAATCAAAATTTTTAATGTTCCTACTGATTTTTGCGCTTTTCTTATTGATATCCATTGAATATTGATATTGATAATTGTTTTAATGGTAAAAATTTTAGTGCTGCTTATGTCATCGATATTTCTATGATATTCGGAATCGCGCGCTTTATGTCATGACTTTCTCTTCTCATAAAAATGCTAAAGTATTTTTCATTGTTTTAAAAAATTGAGGAAAATGAACTTTGGAGGGAATTGAATTAATTGAGGAAAATTGAGGGAATTTTTCAATGTTATTTGTGCTGTTTTCAATTTATCAACAAAACCATTTTTGCTAAATTGTTTTTTTAGTATCCGATTGCTAAACTTGTTGATATTCTCGGTTTTGATAGCGTCAGTGATGCCACTGAATTTATTGTAAACTACAACATGCCTGTTGATACTGCTAGCGAATCAGATGATATATACTTATTGTTCTCTAAGTCTAAATTTTGTTTATCAGCTACACGTGTGCCAAAAATGTCATTGTGGATTGAAGAGAAACGCTCAAACACGCCTATAGCTCAAGTAATTTTTCTTCAATTTAAAATTGTATCATACTCTGCAAATTTTTTTAATTTAATCATTATTTAAACTGAATTTTTTGGTAGATTTTGAGCGGTGGATCATCCTCAGAAGTTATTTTAAAACAGCCAGCAAATTCGTTTAATGAACAAGGAATTTATACATCTGATCCTGTCATCTCAGACTATATTGAAAATTTTGAAGTGGAAAAGTATGTTTACTTTTTGTTGAATTTAGAGGATTTTCTTCATTTACCTGAATTTCTTTCTCAAAAAAATTTTTTAAAAAAAATTTTTTAAAAAATTTCTCTTCTTACTAATAGAATTGTTTCACGAGTGGAATATAGGTTTTTTTTCGAATTCATAGATTAATTATTTCTTTATAAAGATAAAACCAATAATTTAATGTAAATTAGGTTTATTTCAGCGATAAGAGCAGACATGGCAATGTCGTTTGTGACTCCACTATTCCAGATTTGCAAAATAAAATAAAAAAGTCTGATGAAAATATGGCGAACATGGTATATATTTTATATTTTATAATTTAGAATTTTAGAATTTTAGAGTTTTTATTTAGCATTGAAATTTTTTACATTGATTCATTAATTTCATTCATGATTTTGATGGTTTTTCAATTTTTCATTATTTTGATTGTTTTTCTAAGAAATTTAAAATTTCCTTTTCAGATTGATTCGTTAGCTAATGGAATTGCAGCTATTGTTATCGATAAAGAAATTGGTAACATTTTTGCGGAGTCCATGAACTGCAATGCTACAGTTCTACAAACGTCTGCTCATTTATACGATGGCGTGCTTGATAACTGCATTCAGTACTTTTATTTTTATATATTCATTTTCATTTCATAATGATATTCGTAATGATATCCATTTTTTTATCGTTTTCAGAACTCAAATTGGAGAAGTTTCACTGTCTGCAAGCCTTTCAAGTAATCAAAGCAAAAAAGAAAATATTGCACAAGAAATTTGTTTTGAAAATAATATATCGCAAAATTTGCTGAATGTTGCTGAGGAAAAAATCGTTGGGGATCGTTGCGCAACCGTTGTCAAGTACCTTAAAATTTTTTTTGGTTTTGTGATAATCTTTCTTTCTAATAATTTTAATTTTTTGTCTTATTAAAATTTATCCGTTGATAAAGTTTTTTGAATTTTCAATTATCTTCCATTAATTTACTTTTTTTTATTTTCAGTAGGAATAAACTGAGAAATGATAGGAAACTGCTTACCAACCTGGTTGATTCTATATCCGGCAGTTTTTACGAAAAATTGATGGAAAATGTTGCAGACGAATTAGTCAAAGAAATTGGAAATTCTGTTTTGAAACAGGAAATTGAAAATGTACAAAAACAGATCGCTGCTCGCTTAGATAAGTAAAATTTTATTTTCGAAACCATCCAGCGTCCAATTACAATTATGAAAATTATGGTTTAATAGTGACTTTTCTTATTTTTTTGCATGTTTATTTATTTATTTAGACAACGGCTTAAAAATTCTGTAAATCAATGGAAAAAATATGTAGTCAAGCGAAAAGAGCAACGTGACGCAGAGCAGACATTCTTGAGAAACTTTCCTGTTGTCGCAGTTCCTCGACTAACTATTCAACGA